GTGTGTGTGTGTGTGTGAGAGTGTGTGTGTGTGTGTGAGAGTGTGTGTGTGTGTGAGAGAGTGTGTGAGAGAGTGAGTGAGTGTGTGAGTGTGAGAGTGTGTGTGTGTGTGTGTGTGTGTGTGTGTGTGTGTGTGTGTGTGAGAGAGTGTGTGTGTGTGAGTGTGAGTGTGAGAGTGTGTGTGTGTGTGTGAGAGAGAGTGTGTGTGCGTGCATGCGTGCGTGTGTAAGCTCTGTTGCCTTCATGTTTGAAACGCCCTGATAATTACATCTGGAATACAAAACATCTGTTAGATGGCCCTTTTGATTTTGTGATATTAAGCACAAGATGAAACCAGATGCCGGCTCTGGTTCACAGATGTCTGCTCATCTTCATCTTCATGTTGCTTTAGGTTCGTTTCACAGTCTGGATGAATGAGTTTCTGGGCTTTTAATCAAATCACTGAAGGCTTTCCGTGTGAGAAGAGGCATTTCCAAAGAAGGACTTTCTCTCCAACTCTTTGTCATGGGTGATTGAAGCTCTTATGTTTTCTCTGTGGTTGCAGTATGAACATATTTACATGGAGGATCAGAGTTAGTGACTGTGCTTCAGATGTGCTCGTGTGTGCGGCTCAAACACGTGTTCACACCTGTTACCTTCAGTAAAGACCGCTTACGTGTCACTCTTTTATTTTTATTTATATCAGATCCTGAAAGTGTTACCGTGTTTCTCTTTGGGACAGTGTCTATAACACACAATCTCATGCATTTCAATTAGCTGCCAATTAAACAAATAAAACATTTTATAAAGTAATGCATGTGCAGGTTGTTGTTTTTTTTATTCCTCCTTTGTGTTCGTATACATTGTGTGGTTTATGTATTTTGTGGTTTTAAAGATAAAAAATGTTGATAAAATAAAATATATGAATACAAAGCACCTCAGAAATGGACTTGCGCTGCCTTTAATGCTATTTATATGTTTGTGATGTAAATCAGTGAGATCTTTCTTACAGTACAGCAGATACTGACATAAAATGCTATAAATATCAGTCGTGGCTCTATATCTCCAGTAATAATAAGATGAGAGTGAAATGCTCCAAACATATAATGCAGTGATTGAGAGCTGAAGAAATAAAGGCTCCTCAGAAGATGTGAGATGTTCTGGAGGCTTGTGAAGATCATTCCTCCGCTGAGGAACAGTGAAAGTAAAGCTTCTGGAAACAAACGCTCCTCAAAAGATCCTGAGGATCAGATTTGAGACTCTAAAACATGATTGATGGAGAATCAAGTAAAGCTGAGCTGCTTCAGTCCAGTAAGTGTTCATCTGGAGATATTACTGCAGTTATTCTGACCTTTACTTGATCAAAATCAGTCAAGATTTGACAGCAGAAAGACTCGAGCTGAAGCTGGACCCTTGTACAATTACACTAAAAGAGCTCTGACTGGATAAAACACTCTAAACTATCAATCAGACGACAGAAAGTATGGAGAGTTTGATCATTTACAGTAGGCTTTACAGGGTTAATGACTTTGTGTGTGTTCTTTGTTCTTCTGTGTTTGTGTGTTTTGTGTGAATAGATCCAGCAGGTGGCGCTATAAGACCTCTGCTCAGTCAGTGTCTGCTGCTGAACTTCATGTTTTGTCCAGTAGATGTCTCAAGAATAATGTTCCTTATTTCAGGTTTTAAAAACCATATTCACATCAGTGCAGTGAAGTGAGTGTGTACGAGCAGGAGTCACTGCTTCTGGTCCCAGCTCATCACCAGAAGCCTACATTTGATAATGAGTTGCACGTTTAACCAAAGCAAGAAACCTGAAACACAATAAAAATCAGCACGGCCTGTGCCATCTGTTATTACTTTACAGACAACAGTCTTGTTCTTTGGGTCGAGACACATGTTCACTCTCAGACCAGGACTCTAGATGTTTGTCATCACACTGCAAATGTCTTGATCGTGAGATTGTTTAATGCAAGTCAAAGTCTATATGAACATAAATGGATTCACTGATGAATCTGAAACGTCCGAAACAATCTTGTGTAATCGATTCCTTTGATTCAATTTCAATTTAAAGAACTATACCAGAGCATTATACTCAAAACAAGCAATGACAAGGATAAGAAATATGCAATATTGCAATAACAATTAAATAATTATAAATATTGATATGTATATACAGTATATAATAAACTTTGACTTTATTCCAATTACAATTGATTCATTAAGTTGACTGGAGGCTGTTCTGGTTGATTACTATTTATTGATGAAATGATCAAGAATTTAATTCAACACTTCTACAGAATTAACTAGGAATTATTTAGTCTTAATGAAGTATGATTAGCTATAATTATTTAGTAGGAACGTATAATAATATTTATGATGTTTGCCAAACACTGACAAAGTATTTCAAAGTCAAATGCAGGGTAAAAGAAATGAAATAAATTTTTTCATTCAATGTTATTTGATTTTTAAAGGCACAGTTCACCTTCTGTCATTCACTCACAAAAGATATTTTGAAGAATGTTGGGAACCAAAAGGTTGACGGAGCCCTCTGTTAAAAATACTATGGAAGTCGATGGCTACCGTCAACTGTCTGGTTCCCAACATTCTTCAAAATATCTTCTTTTGGGTTCAACAGAAGAAAGAAACGTATTCAGGTTTGGAACAACATGAGGGCGACTAAATGATGACAGAAGTTTCATTTTTGGGTGAACTACCCCTTTAATAATGTTCTCCAAAACATTATTTATACATCATTTATGGAATGTTTTATAGTTGGACGTTTCAGAGAACATTCGGAAATAATGTTTTCATAACTTGTCAGTAAAACGTTTTTAGAACATATTTTGCTAGCATCGCTGGAGAAGAGCATGGATGTATATTTAACTCATTTCTTTGGTTCATAGAGTGAACTAGAGTTTGTTCTGATCATCCGACTCATTCAGAAGTCTGGACTCATAAACCTCGCCTGGAGTGTTGAAATCTCTGATAAACAGTTATTGGTGCGATAAGACAGATGTGTCCTGAATTATGGAAACTCTATTGGCCAATAAAGAGGGTGAGAGGAACAGCGTGTTCATTACTACTGCTAGTAGAGCTAGTTACTGTCCAAACAGCTGCT